CTGGCATTATCGGCGCATGGAATATAAAAAACAGAATGATGGCACTTTAACAATTACAGGAAAGGTGAAGGATTACTAGGACTGCTCGGACAATCGGAGTGAAAGACTGGCGTTAAAGCAGCGCTGTTGAGATGTACTCAAACACTGAGTACAGCAACGGTTTCCTGCATGTTTCGCTTCCACTTCGTATTGCCAAAAAAAACAAAAATTGGAAAATAGTGGAAGCGAACAAAGACGAAACTTTGAAAACATAAACAAAGAAAAAAGAAATTTGACGGAAGAAATGAATTCGAAAACTGCTAAGTATGAGGTTAAAGAAACAATGCAGTGGGTGCAAAATGACAGCACAAACAACTGTTTAGAAGAGTTTTATCAAAGGAAACCAGAACTTCAATTTCCAAATTTGAATAATTTATGCATAGGTCCCGCAAACAACGAAGTTCCCCGTGCAGTGCAGCCAAAAGGTAGTAATAATGCAGAAGAAAAAAGTAGTTCCATGATTAGAAAAGACGCATTTTTCAGAAAAAGGGTAGCTCAAGGAGAGAGAGAGAGAGAGTGAAAGAGATCACTGTTTCAGCGATGAGATGCTCGCGATTAAAAAAGCGTGAAAAAACTCGAGCAATTCAAGTAAACATTTTTTTAAAAAAGAAATATAGCTTGCTGAATGATGTATCTCGCATGTGCAAATACCAATTATATTTTTCAATTGTATTTGCTGAACTCGGCGAGGGGCAGAGAAGCGCAGGGATGAAAAAACGTGGACTCATAGTACAACTAAAGAAACTATTCAAAAATCCAAGCAAACAAATGTTCTAAATTGACGAAAAATAAAGGTTACTGAAAGCGAGTAAAATTTTGCTCAAGCGGTCTGCGCGAATTTTCATGAAATGATCGTAGCAAGCGCGAATATTTATGATCGAAACATGCACGAATTTCCCGGAGAGGCATCCTATAGACGTCAGTGGCTTGTGCATAAAACCTGAACCTAGCAGCAATGCTGCTCGTTATGAGGACTAAGATACCGAATAATCAAACCATTTCACTACAAGCTGGCAGTTTTGTGTGTTTTATATTGAATGAAATTTGAAATATACTCACCGAACTTCTTCCAAGCCGTCAGGGATGGTCCACCGAAGATACGGTCTTTTTCCCGCCTCAGTGTTTCCGCAATCTTTTTTCTTTAAGAATGAATGTATGATATAAATATATTATGAAACAGTATTTTCCGAGTAAACGGTGCTTCATGTCCAAAAGGCAATAGCAAAAATTCTAAAGTCTTTACAGGGATGTGTGTCAGAACGAAGTTCGCACTGCAAAAAAAACGAGTTTGTGGCACCTGAACTGATAAGCTCAAAGAAATTTTTCAAAAATATTTTTGTCGGTGCAGCACTGAGATTCATGTTCAGTAGCCAGAAAACTGAGATTTGTCAAGTGCGGCAACAAAGGAAGTTTGATAAAGCTAAGATTAAGCGAGTGATAAGTGACTGGGCGGCTCTCAATTTGAGCTCTCGATCAGCGGGACCGAGAACATTCAGGAGAGCGACGAGTAGTGTGGACGCAAATGTAAAAGGGCAGTAATGTGGAAAACGGCAGCGAGGTGCTATTTTTGCAACAGCACTTCGGTGCGTAATAATCAGGAAAAGCATCTTCTGCCCCAGGATGGCAGAAGCACACAGACACACACACACACACATAAAAGGGGAAAGGTCAGCAGTACCGATGTGTGATTGGAACGGAGATGCAATCCACGACCGCGCACCATCATAGATCTCTCACACAGTCATGCAATAACTATTTGCACCTCTGCACGGCAAACATCCTGGGGAGACCGGCATAACAACCGAATCGCTCAATGTGAAAACTTTACCTAATTTTAGAACACACCTGTGACCGCCGAAAAGAGTGCATAAAGAGCGCTACCACGAAAGCTAAGGGGAACTTTAACAGTACAAAGGATTGAACAAAGTGCATAGACTTTTTTTTCACTTTGATCAGGCGAATGTGCTTCATAGAGAGGAATGAAACCACGTGAAAAGGGGGTGGTACTTTAACTATATGAAGTCGCGAAAAGACGGATGAAACTCATTTTTGAAGCGAGGAATTATGTGAGTCTCATGGAATAGTGAAGGTGGGCGGACAAGATGCTGAGCTCAGTGCTTGCTGCCACTCAACAGCTGTTCTTAAGAAAATAAAAATAACTAAAACTGATTCTCGCTCAGCAAATATGTACATGTTAATAACCGAGAACTTCATCAACAGTTCGCTGATGCGTGCCGATTCAAAAAGACTGGTACCACAATCGCCTAGACTGTCAGAGTTATCATTGCGAAGATCATGTCAAATGAAGCACTGACACGCTGGATGCAATTATGCCAAGCGCATCTTCGACAGCTACGAGCTCTTTTTCAAAAAGAAATAACTGTTACAGCTTTCGCAAATTACAATGAAATTTGTATGGAAACGAATAAAAGGCTAACTGGTGACCCTTGGATATACGTTGCAAAGGGCCAAAACAAGACAACGAATCTGGGATTTACGTTGCTTTTCAATTGTGCGTCTCAGAATCAAGTTCAAATTTGAGCAAATCATTGGAAAGGAGGAGAAAGGAACGATGAAGTGAAAGGGGGACGAACTAACCTTGACCCATCAATGCCAGACTCTGTAGTTGCATGCTGCTTCGACAATTTGCGATTGCTGGCGGAAAGATGAGATTCGTTTGCAATTCTTCACTGAAAGTCAACATTTATCAGTGGCCGGGAGAGGCCCAGTAGTCGGCGCGAAACTTTTTAACCGTGCACATATCACAGTGGCCCATCACAAAACGATTCACTGAGGAGTTCATTGTGTTTTAAAACGCTCGCATACGCATTTCCATTCATCTTCACATGCTCATTCTCATGGATTCTCCCATTTTCGGACCAGAAGTAGCGCACTCTTCACCACGGCACACTTTTGAGCTATTAACGCCGCTGGCAACTATATCACGGTGGCTGTGACCGATAAGATGCACCGTCTGACGTTCGACCCCCTGTTTTCTTTGTTTTTCCGGAGAGCAATGATCCATGTGTTGTAGTCCTTCTGCCATCTGTATGGATTTCGCTGGTGATTTGATTACAGTAAGTGACCACAAGTTTTTATTTTAAAATTAAGTTGTTTGTAGGTTGATTAAATTGCCACGAATTAATGCTTAGATTATAGAAATATTAGTAATGATGTATATTAAATATAAAATAATATTAAAAAATTGAGTGAAAAAGAATGTGTTCGGCCTAAGAGGACGTATACATTCCTATTCAGCACAACTGGTTCTCGTGAGTACAACGGTTGTGATTTTGAGAGGGGGTAATGTGTAAGAGAATAAATTTTATAAGGAAATAGACTAAGACCGCAAATACGTAGGAAAAAGTAAAAAAGGAGAGCAATGAGAACTAATTAATCGGATGGGATGTAAGAAACTGAAAATTGCAAATTCCTGATATTGGTGTAGCTTTTACAGAAATTTTTTAAATTTACCTAAATAAATAATACGTATTTCTTCATCCTCGAAAACGGAAGAAAGAAAAAAGCACAGGGTTCGTTTATAGTACAGATGTGAACTTACCCATTGAGGCAGTAATGTTCAATAAGCAACGGAAGTGACCGGAAGGAGTAAGCAGATGATTCCAAGCGTACACTTCGGTCCGGACCTGCTGATTCAATCAAGTAATGATCAATGTCGGAAGACAAACCCGGTGGCAAACGGATGCTCAGCGCCATTGCATTTGCTTTCGAAGATGAACGTACAATGAATGCCTGTAAAGCATTTGCTTCGCTAAAGTGAACTCGGCTCAATCATTAACCCGTTATTCAGCCAACTAAACAGCACATTTTCAACGCATGGGTTGTCCAAAATTTATAGTATTTTCGAAATAAGACCACAAATGCACCGACTCAAAAAATAACCATGTGGCAGAATCACGAGCTCATTTCCGCTCACTTCTCTGAAATCGTGAAATCCTCGTTCATTCTGGACAGTTCTTACCCCTTCATTCATTGGACGAAGCAAATGAGCGGCAGCGGAACGTCCAACATGTTGCAAGTACCAAATCGGGTGTGTGCGAACGATCTGCTCCAAAAGTGTCATGCCTTTCTCGCTGCCAGTTTTTACATTCTCCCAATTTCGCTCCTTGTCAGCCAATAGCTATAAGTGACATTAACAAGTTTATCAGTGCCGTATGCTGATGAAAGACCAATAAAACAAGATGAAATAACTTCAATATTAAATTAAAAGCAGTGCAAGAAAGCAGAACAAACTTCAGTGCAGTCGAACTGATAAAAAATGAAAGCATAAAGCCAGAAGCACGAGAACTTAAAATGTCAGGCTGAAACTCGAAAAGCTTAAATATGAAACATCAGAAGTTACCGCTTCAGCGTGTGGATTCTTATTTTTGTCCTTTGCTGCTGCGAC